GGCGTGGAATAGGTGATTCTCGACCCGAGCTCTCGGGAGATACTGAGCGACGACCGGACCCGGGCTCAAGAGCCATGGCTAGTGAAATGCGCGGTTATGAGTGAAATCAAGGACATCGGGTATCGTATCGTGTTGCGACAGCAGCAAAAAGCATCGCTAGGGGCTAAAGATCCCAACAAATGTTCTACAAGCTCGTCTATGAATCGTCGTAATCAAGCAGGCGCACCGATCCTAATCAGAAGGCTACGTGGAGCATACAGGTAGTTTCAACTGCACCCACTGAAGCCACCCTGAAACTGGCGGAGCTATGTGAGTGCGCAGAGCTCTGATTGGCTTAAGCTTCCAAGCCTTAGACCTCTTAGCACAAGGCTGCAACAGCCCCTCCAGCGCGTCATGCCCCCATGAAGCTCTTTACCTCCTCTTTTTTTGTCGATATCATCACTTCTTAATCATATTCAGCCTTTCAAGATGGCATAATGGCCTCACCTCATGCCTACAGAAGATTTCCAGGTCGTATGATTCTGGCAAAAATAAGTCTTCTTCCATCTCTCCCCTAACAGGCTGCTCTGCCAAGAAATGCGACAAGTGAGCTATCCGCAATCATGGAGCCGGATGAAATGACCCCAAAGCCAGCATCTTCCATAAACGAAGATTATCGCCCCCCTCTACCGCCTCGGCCATCAACGAGCGCTACCGAAACAGCTTCTCTGCAAGCTCAGGCTACCACAGCAATAACTCCTGTTGAAATACAGACGCTCTCTTTTCCTGATGGATCTCGAGGGACATTTCCCACCCCTGGGCCCGACTCACTCCCAAGCCCCGCTGAGAGTGGTCGTGCTTCCCCAAATCGACAGGAGAGTAGTGGCAGCGGTGAGGCAGATGAGACTGCGAGCATCATGAGTTTTGCACCGACGATGCGACCTGCTGGCGATATTGCAAGTCTACTTGCCGGTGAACTACATAAGAAGAGTCCGGCCTGGAAAATGCTACGAACTCAGTCAGCTACTGTTCTTCCTTTCGAGAAAAGCAGAATAGGCGCAAATGACCGGTTCGCGGAGTTTCACCACGAGTTCAATTCTCTCCCCGAGGATTATGATGAAGATATTGAGTCGGATATTTTACATCTGTGGAAGTCGAAACTGAAACATTATTTGATTCTGTCATCAGCCGGGAAGCCCATTTGGAGCCGGTATGGAGATCTAAGTCTGATAAACTCCTCCATGGGCGTTGTTCAAACCATCATTTCATTTTATGAAGGTGCCAAGAATCCACTTCAGGCCTTTTCTGCCGGGGATACTCGTTTTGTTATCTTGACCAAAGGACCGCTCTACTTTGTCGCTATCAGCAAGTTGGGTGAAAGTGACTCGCAGATACAAGCACAATTAGATGCGCTATATATGCAAATCTTGTCAACACTAACCTTGCCCAGGCTAACTCATATTTTTGCGAATCGGCCATCAACTGACTTACGAAAGCCCCTTGAAGGGACCGAGGGTCTCCTGTCTTCTCTGGCTGATACATTCACAAAAGGCTCTGCTTCGGCTCTGCTTGGATCTTTAGAATGCCTGCGGCTTCGAAAATCTCAACGGCACGCGATCAACAATACTTTTCTGAAATTACGTACAGACAAGTTGTTATATGGTCTAATTGTGGCTGGTGGGAAACTTGTCAGCGTCATTCGGCCTCGTCGACATTCACTTCATCCCAGCGACCTGCAACTTATTTTCAATATGCTCTTCGAGAGCGACGGCATCAAGGGTGGCGGTGGAGAGAACTGGATCCCTATTTGTCTTCCCGCTTTCAACAACAAAGGTTATCTTTACATGTACGTCAGTTTCTTTGACGGTACTTCCGGGGATCAAGCTAGTTCTCCTGCTGCTGCACAAGGGCGATCATCAGAAGAGGAGATCGCAATGATCCTCGTGAGCACCGATCGTGAGAGTTTCTTCGAGTTGAAGCAGATGCGCGACAATGTCGCTCAGCAGCTTGCCAAGAATGGGACATTGGCTATTATTCAGAACGCCACCCGCCTTGGTCGACCAAAAATACACGAAATTGCCCCCGGGAGCCAAGTCAGCCACTTCCTTTACAAGTCGCGGGCCAATGTACAATTCTGCATGGGGTCATTAGAGCCGTACTTCACTGGCCTTGTTGAGCGCAGGAGACTGATGACGGTGTACCATGAGCTACATGCATCCATTCACGCCAAACACTCGCATCTCAAAGTTCTGCACGCCGTCGGAGATGATGCCACCTCATTGGCATGGACCACGCCTGTGTTTGAATTTTATTGTGTTGCTGGGCCTAATGTGTCGAGAGCGACCATTACACAAGGAGCGAACAAGATTATTCAATGGGCCAAGAGGGAAGAAGAGCGCCTTTTCATCATTGGCGGTGGTGTATTCTGAGAGCATGCCTCCTATTGAGGTCTGGTTCCTCGTTAATCCTAGAATTCAAGACCCTTGATCTTGCAATCGGTCATCTCATGGAGCCGAGCTGAAACAAAGTGCCTCCTAACGCCGACATTATTCGTTACTAGCCTTCCCGCCTCATTAATAATTAGGTTAATGGTATTTGAAGCCCATTTCAACTCATCACTTCGATCCTGCCTTCGAGCTTGGCAAACTAGTGACCGCAAAAACTTGGCTGTCGTGGGCTGTTCGGCCACCGTCGGGCTCTGAGGGTGTGATGTTATCTGATGAAGGCGACGTCATATCACTTGTTGGGCTCTGGGCCGAGTGACCCTCAAAATAGTCGTCCTTGGGGTCATCCTTAGAGTTGGACCGAGTGCGCACAACTCCCCATGATCTCTTTGCCCACTCCAGGATGCGATCATTGACCTTTGACCGACGCTTCGTCTCTGATTCCCAGGAGGCATTGCGATACTGAAGGGGTGATGGTCGGTCACCATCACAGCCAAAACTGTTACGGCTAGTTGTGCCAGTTGAAGGATAGCTCATGGTATCGGTTGCGAGAGTTGTTCTTGAGGCGTTCATAATGTCCACCGAGAAAGGTGCATCGAAGTCTTCATGGAACCGGGGGCTGCGTATCGATGGGCTTTGAAGTGATGACCCAGGTCGTTGAACTTCAAATGGATCCCGAGCTGGGAGTGGGAGAGTGAGGACTGGCCTTCGATCCGTCATTGTGGGCGAGACAAACTGAATTCGGTACTGAGTGTTTCGGTGTGGCAAGACTGGGTGTTGGAAGGTGTCGATGTTGACACTGTTATAAGAAATGATCCACGTGCACTGGGGGTCGGTAATAAGAACCAAAAGCTTTGGTTATCCTCCAAGCACGGAGCTGAAAGAAGGAAGCTGTCTATCGTTGATGGTTTGTTGACTTTCTGGGGCCGGGCGAGAAGGCAAAGGGTTCCCTCTTGTTCAAATTCAAAGACCCGTTGAACATGTGCATCCGACATTAGCTTGAGCTCAAACAAGTCCAAGTGTGCGATAGACCCCTGACTAGGCTTGGATAAGCAATCATGGAGCCAACCAAGTGGGCTTCACAAACTGCGGGGATGGTACGGTGACCAGTTGAATGACAGAGATTGCCAGGCTCTGCCGGCTAGAGTCGTCCACAAGGACGGAAAATCTTGAAGGGTGGCCGAGGCATTTGAGTTGGGATAGAACCCACACACCAAGAGTAACAATAGAAACAACAAACTTTCCACCAACATTTTAGGCTTAAATCTGAAGAAACAGATGATCCTTTCTATGACAACACCTTGATAAGCTTTTGAATCAAAACTGAGCTTTTGACTTTAACAGCATTTTCTTCCCCTCGGTGATCTACAAATATCCCCAAGATGATCACTTTCTTGATCCCGTATTATAGCCCACCTACCAGGGTTAACCAAATCCAGGCATCGAGTTGACGTTTTTGGTGGGAAACAAATTCAAGAAGAGCCACTCTAGACCCATCGAACTAACTGAACCCTGTTGCCGAGTCAGATGTTTGAGTTAGACTCTATGCGGCAGCCCGTTTTCGGTACGGGGTTCCGGTCCCGTCCTTACACTCCCGAGTCCAGGTCCCTTGCCAAGGGTTGTCACAAACCGCTTTGCCTGTGGCCATGTCCGAAATTGGTGAGTCACGCTACACACGGAGGACACCCATTTGAAGATGTCAGTGGCATGAAATTGTGTCTGGACCTGGGAACCGGTTGCGGAGATGACTCGGAGAGCCCTCTACTTATGCTTATGCTCGCTTTATTACGGCTAGTTCTTCGAGAAACTCGCGTGACAATAATAGAAACTCGTGACTGGTCTCTCATATCGAGATTCGTAATGCACGTGAGCCCTTATCAGCGGTGAAGGTGAGCGAGAGGTTAGTCTACCGCACAGACACATTCAACTTGGTTGATTGGCAATAAGTATGCTAGGAAGAACAGGAGGACCAATTCGTACCAGTCAATGCGTTGGCATAAATCTTGACGCCCAATGCTGCTCTTTACGAAGGAGGCATGGACGCCACTCGCGTCGATATGCATTCATTGACGAGTAAATATCCTATTTGTACCAAGCCAAAAAGTCAACATATATTGCCTTAAGATTCTCATGAACTTTCATCTATCTCGTGGCGTTTCATACCATCGGGACTGAAATTACATAGATGGCAAGAGTGTTGTCGATCCTTACGCCGTCGATGAAACAGGCCCTTAAAGGTGGGTGGGTCTTTATCTCCGGGCAGGCACACCACAGTCAACAATAACCTTGGTGATGGCTTCATTACATGTCGCGTGGAAGGAGTTGTCGCTCCGGCCTCGAGACACCAATTCCTGTTCCTGCCCGGCTACAATTAGCAATGTAACTTAGTACGTAGGGCGTCCAATGTTGGTACTTGAGATTCCTCCAGGTGCTACCTACAAATTACATCACCATGGGTAGCTCCCTCCTTTATATTCATCGGGGTGATGGCAGCATTAAGACCAACCTCCAATTCAAATAATGACAAGTGCAGGTGTAATTGCAAGTGCAAGTGCTCTTGTGAAAACAGGAAGGATTCCTAGATTGGACTCTTCATAGGCAAAGTCTTCCTGCCGCAAGATGACCTCAACTTCCATTAGATCTCAATACTTCGTCTTCACTAATAATCATTCTCTCGAGAATGTGTCCACATTTTGCCTGTGACTATTGTCATTTTGGCTTGTAATCGCCTACTCCGACTTTCTTGGTCTTCTTGGTCTCCTGATCGGTAAATGATCAGTCGAATATTCCTTGTCCTATCTTATCCTCCCCATTTGCATTCCATGCAGCGTCAAGTTGTTAACGAGTGATCATGGACCTCGGTGATTCCAGATACAGATCATTCAGCCAAGCTTCACTGCACAGTGCCTATCAAACTCATGAAAGACGGTCCACTACCCCGAGGCTACGGTCTCCATCTCAACCACGACTACCCTTCCAGAGCTTGAACGATACTTCTGCTCTCCTCCGCTCTACCGGACCTCTAGAGAGCATGCTCAAGACGACGACAGAGACCGGAGATCTTGGTATCTACTCCATCAATTCTGCTGTACCTTCAAATACACCTCGACCCCCTCGCACAAGAGTCGGTCATAAAAGGGTGAGGCGGCCAGCTCGCCCTTATTACGATGAAGTTAAGGACGGTCCAATTCGGGACGACCGTAGATCGCTACCCTCGTATCGAGACACGACTTCCGAGATCATTTCGTTATATGGCTCTCCTGGAATTACCCATCCCAGGTCGTTTTCTCCCGCGTCGGAAGGCCAACGAACACACTCTTTGACAACGTGCAGTTCGAGACGGGTCCCTTCATTTAAATCCTCCGGCACCTTTCACAGTCAACAAAGTAATAATGGCTTTCAGCGTCCTCGCTCACCGTTTCCATATCCCACACGTCTGAGGCGACCTGGTGTCCGGCCTTCTTCTCCAGCAGTGACAGATAATGGTCTCATTGATCACCGGAGAATGGTTGAGATTGACAGGTCTTCGCATGTCAGTAACTTCTTCTTCTCTCACGGTCAACCCAGTCTGACGGTTAACAGCGCATGAACTACAGTTCTCACATGCATAGGGGTTATCGCAAGCATCGACGATACCCTCCATTGTCTTTGAGGCCCGAATTCAGTCGATCAATGTCTTCATTACCTCCGCGCTCCTCATCCGCACCTTATTACGGTTCAAGGGCCAATCCGTCAAGAAGACCCAGCGGTGCAAGATATCCGCCATTGAAATTTCCATATTTCCAGTATATGCCAGGCGATCAGAGTGTTCGATCTGCCAGCTTGACGTCCATTGTGGACATGTACCACGGAAGAACCCCAGATGATGCCATGCAACCTCTTCGCTCGCCAAGCTCGTTCTACTACGATTATACCGAAGAGTTCGACAAGGGATTTCCAGGCGAGTTTGAGTATGCGTCCCCAGTTGACTCTCCCCAAGGGCATTCTACTGGCATGTTGAGGAGAGACGACATGGGGGAAACAACTACGACGCCCCCGGCCAGTTTCAAAGGTATAGCTTCTGCTGATGAATTTGATGAAAACTAACAAGTTTAGATCCTTACGGAAATGCAGCTGTACGTGAAAACAAAGAAACTCGGGCATCTTCAGGGCCAATCTATGGCAACTTAAATACCTCCAGGCCTCAACGGCAAGAATTCGATGAACCCGATGTTAATGCTGGTTGCAAGCAAACTCCGATATCTATCAAAAGAAGGCAACAATCTCCAATGCAACCGGTCTGCGAGCAACCGGTGACGGAGAAGCTGGAAGGCAGCCGCTTTTAGCAAAAGCAGCCAGATGCTTACAATGGTGGACTTTCAAGTTTTCCCGAGCCCTACTGTAGCTCAAATATCTCAGCTATGGGGTCTGTAATATGCGACATGGTTACAAAACCTCGAGAGGAGCAGCCTAAGGAAGGCTCTCTAATGACTTCCACTCTAGCCCAGCGTGGATCTCCTGTACTATCCATCGACACTAGCGAAGACGACTGGGTTTGGGGGGGTAGCCAAAAAGAGAAGGAAGCCGGTGAATATGATACCGTTCGGACAAGTCCTCCTCCTGTTCCACCAAAGACGAAAGCTCGATGCCCAGACAAACCTTCGTTACATGTGGGAAACAAAAGGGAAGCTGTGAAACCAAAGCTCCGCGGGGCGCATCATCGCCGGACCCCCACCAATACAAACATTAAGGTCCGGGATAAGAACGATGTGGCACTGCCGAAGCAGGGCGTGCCAAAAGCAACTGGAGGCGATGGGATTCTTTCACCTAATCCAATCTCACCAGCACATCAGCTAAGGGTCACAAACAGCATTCCACAGTTGATGAAGGCTCTGCCACCGTTACCTGATGAAGCACAACACAATTCCAATCTCCCATGTTGGGGTTCATCTGGAAACACCGCAGTCCCTGCACATAAGATGTATGCCAGCAGTCCTGCTAATAATGTTACGCCCCTGGAGTCTAAAGTAGGTGCGGATGAGATGCTTTCAAAGCCAATATCAAGGATCGATGACTTGACAAAACCAGATTATCATCAAACTCAGACCAATGCTTCTCGGTTCAAAGTTCGTCTAAGGTCGTCTCGGTCAGGGCTTCAGAGCAAATGGAGCCTTGAATCTCCGGGCATTCCTGAGAGAAGCTCCAGTAATCCTATCAAGCCAAGACTCAGACTCAAAGTATCTCGAAGCCGAATGAGTAATAAATTCATGGGCCCTGACGGGAAAATTGTACGCAACAGTCCCTTAAAGCAGTACAATTCGCTCTTGGAGCTGAAGAACTTTCCTCACAGAGACGGTTTCACAGATCGATCCAGCTTTAGGGAAGCACTCGAAGAGCAACTCGCTCATCTTGGTATTGATAAGCGACTCTCTAATATTGATGAAGGAACTATCCGAGGACCTTCGCGGCAGCTGTCTGACCAGTTTGATATTCCTTACCCCCCTTCAACTAAGGGTATAGTAACGGCGGAACTAGTGAGTCAACCAAAGTTCGATAGCGGCCTTGGAATATTCGACCGATGGGACTTTGACAAGACACTTTATTCAGGGAAGAACTTCATAAGGGAGAATTTCGACAGGACGCTCTATTCAAAACCCATAAGGAAGAAATCGTCTTTTCTTCGATCCAGGGCTGCGCCGACGAGCATACGAAAAAGGCAAAGGGGCACAGCCAATCTCAGCGATCCGACACCATTACGGTCTGAGATTACCCAGGGTAGCTCTTTTGAAGATTCTATGTTAACACCGAGCGTAATGTTGCCACAGAGAATACGCAACAGAACACGGCGAGTGAAGCGCTGGGCAGTAGAAGCAAAACGGGCAGTCCAAGCTTTAATGAGACGAACACTGAGCCGATCTCAGCATTCGGATTCTGAAGGATAACATGGCGACTTGGCCCCGTGAGAATCGACCAGGGTGAGACTATTCATTACAAACAACTGAAGGTTATAGCGATTATCTCCTGGGTTGGTGAACATATTATCTGGGTATTGTGATGGCACGAAGTGCAATGACATTGTGCTAAGCATTGATACGTTGAGCAACTTGAGACAGAATTAGTACTAGATGCAATATAAGATTACTTGGTGTAAGGCAATCGTAGTGATAAAGGAAATCAACTAGGAGATCACAGTGAGTCGGCAAGGTAAATGTGAGTAGATGTATTATGTATATGACATGGGTATCAAGTATATTCGATAAGAATGCTTTTAAATCGTGATGTAATCAAAGTCGTGAAGATCATTACTGCTTGGTGGAACCACTCATATCTAACCAAACCTCACATCGCTCTCGTTGGCCCTTGTCAACACTTTCCATGGTGTTGTTATTCAACTCAAACACTAGACGTCGCTGGTCATTACCCCAATTCTCCCACCGAGGAGCATCCTCGTCACGGTGAGTGTTGGGGTCGAAGCTACGAACAAAGCTGATCCAGTAGTTCTGAACAATAGGGACCATGGGCGCGTTGTAAGTGCGATAGCTAGGACCAGCTTTGGCAGCTGTCATATCAGGGCCAAAGACTGCGGGCGCATTGGAGACATGGGGGACACCATAGCCATCGGTGGTGAACTCTTCAATCGCAACATTATAGCGATAAGACCAGAGAGTCTTGGGGTCGGCGTGCTCAGCGAAGGCGTTGAGGATGTTGTTTGTAGGGCAGATGAAGGTTGCTTCGCCGTATGCGCGCGAGGCTGATGGGAACCAAGTATCGTGTTTTGCGATCTTGGGCTCTTGTGGGTAGAGGTCGAGAATGGTCTCGGTGTCTTCTGTGGTTAAATAGGGGTATTCATTTTGCATGTAGCGTATGAACTGGGCTGAGCTGCCTGCGTTGACGGCGTAGTTGGATCCCTCTGAATATGAATTAGTAATGTGATGTGAATATGGGTTCAGGTACATACCATTTGTACAAGAGCCAGAGAGTAGTGGCACCTTGACAAAGTTCCCCTCCTCATAGAGCTTCGAAGGCAAGTCTGGAAACATGTCGCCATCAGTAGTAGGTGCCCAATAGAAGTAAGATCGATAAGTGCGGCCGTCGAAAGGAGCCTTTGCGTTATGGGCTTGAAGGTCTGTCGACTTGATTCCACGGAGGCACTTCAATGTATCGTCGGCATCAGCACAGTCTGTCGCGTTGACAACTCGATCAAACTGATACTGTAGATCGTCAGGCTTAGGGAGACCAGGCATAAATGTCGACTCAGCAATGGCACCCGCAAAAAGACCCTCGTCTTTTCCACCATAAGCAACGAGTTGAAGAGCCACAGATCCTGCACCCGCAGATTCACCATGGAGGATAACATGCTCAGGATCACCACCAAACTCCTCGATGTGTTTCTGAATCCAGTTGAGGAGGAATCTCTGATCCATCAGGCCTGCGTTAAGATCGCCATCTTCTTTGATCTCCTTCGAAGCGAGGAACCCAAACATGCCAACACGGTAGTTGAAATTAACAAAGATGATGTTGTTGTTCGAGGCTGAAATGAGCTGTGTGCCATTTACGTAGGGCGATGCGTTCCTAATGTAGCCACCTGATTGGAAGAATACCATGACGGGGAGTTTCGAGTCGGAGGTTGCATTTGCTGGAGTCCATATGTTGACGAATAGACAGTCTTCGTCAATGCGTAAGCTGAGACCGTCGCTGACTCCTGGGCAGTAAGGGGCGTACTGTAGAGAATGAGATATTGTCGATATAAGAGTTGAATAGATTGTATTTACCTCTTGAGCCTTTAGTGTTCCCGCTGTAGAGTCTGGTTCGACAGGTGCCTTCCATCGAAGATCCCCCGTTGGGGCTTTTGCGTAGCGTATACCAAGATACTCATGAATATTGCTCTCGAGGACATTGCCCTCATATTTGGAGTAGCCCAAGTCCACAAAGGGACCTTCTTTCTTCTTTGCAGATTCTTCTTTATCGTCATCTGAGCTTTTTCCCTTGTCTTTGTTATCATCATTGTCATCTGAACCGTTGCTCGGATTATCGCTGGGTTGTGGGGAGGGAGTTTGGTCGGTGTTGTCTTTGGCAGCGCTTTTATCGACATTGTGTTCCTTTGGAGAAACACAGGTTTAGTCGCTCTTCAGATTGTATTTTACAGGCTGCCAAAGACTGTGTTTGAGTGATCAGTTGTAACATACCTTTTTAAGTCCGTAATACAACCCCAGCGTCAAACTCAATATTAGCACTATTAGGAACACAACTGCACCAATTATGAACCATTTTTTCCGACTGGGCTGTTTCTTTTTCGTTGCTTCATCATGAGTGTTATTTGCGTTATTGGGAGTATGTACAGAGTCTTCTTCGGAGGCAGGATCCGACTGTTTTGAAGGGGCTGTCATTATAGTTGAGACTTTGGTCTCTGGTGTTTTGAATGCGGGTGGTTCAATAACCAGGGGAGTTAGACCTCAGGTTATGGCGAGTTGTTTAAGTACGACAGTTTCATAAATATAAGGTCATAAACAGACAAAGAAACGCGAAACAAAGGGAACGGGACTAATGGAGCTGACAATGGGGACCTTTAATACGAAGGAATACCAAGACTCTACTCCGTACGGAGTACTCAGCTAGCTATCGAGTGTTGGCTGACCATGTAAGTTGAAAGAAACCGTTTAGACCCTTGTTTTTTTAGTGTTAGTCGGCCGCCACACCCGTGCATGAGGCTAGAGGTACATTCAATTTGCGGGCGGCTAGGTAGAGATAGAAGTACAGCCAAGAGCCAAGATTTTAGAGTGAATCCGTCTTATGGCCAGGTATGTTGAGACATTATTGGTTGGGTTGGGGGGTTCGAATCTAAGCGAAGGCAGAGTCAGAGTAAGCAACAGTGAATTAACCTTTATGCAGTTGGTAATAAAGATAGGTACTGTCCAGGCTACGGATAAGAAAAACGTGGCAGCCGTCATTGGCCGAATCTCAACGCTACTGTAGGAACCACGATACCCTTGCCTTGTCTTGTCCTGTCCTCGGCCGATATCAAGCATAGCCCATATCGCAGCGGGTCCGAGGTCGAGACTTTGCCCAATTCCACAATTTCCCATCATGCGGAAGAGGCATTCAATGGACCAAGTCGTTCCAGGTTGCGGCGGAGGCGATAGACCTGGGCTCTAGCTACCAACTGATTCTTGGCACTTTGCGGGAATGGCCTTATCATTTCGCAGAGTATTCCTGAATTGGATCAAGGTGTTGATCAAAGGAATGTTAATTATAAGCCTCTCCAGAAATCGGAAACAAACAAAGGCGGTTTTTACGGATGTGTATTTAGGTTACACCCGCTCCCTAGTCTGATACGTCAGATCATCATGAGAAAGGCCAAAGTAGTAGTAGCAGATGCATTATAATTATAAAGTATGGGTGATCACGATCGATATCACTGGCAAATACATAACTCATGGGAGACATCTTACAGCCACCGACTCCGAGTCTAAGCCAGCATGTTTACCCCTGCTTTCAATGCCAAGACTGACCATCTCTTTCAGCCCTTCACTCAAAAGTTCCCTGTCGTCCAAGTCCGTCTCTGTGGCCGTTGGCCGCATGTTCCCCCGCCATCACCGTTCTGTGCCTTCGGAGGTTTCTGTATTAAGCATATTCGTGCTGGTTGCTTCGTGCAGAACAACTGTTTTGTGCTTTGTAATTTCGTGACCCGGTTGGTCTTGTCTTTTGGGTTCATTGCTTTGTTGGCTGATTCGTGCAGTGCATACTCGAGTGTTCAGGTATTGATATTCGACGGGTGGTCCGCTCAGGAGACCTTAAAAGGTTGTCTGAGATATTTAGACGTGATAGCATCACTGCCGATATGACAGCCGCCTGCAGTAAATTGGTAGGATTCTCATCACCAACCTGCAGACATCCCTGCCAGAGGCTACAGCAGCGACTCAACAGGCTGCGTTGACGACGACCGAGCACGGCGAGCATCGGCATGATGAACTTCCATGAGGCTATACATTAAAGATATGCAAAGCACCTGCAGCAATTTTCCGATCAGGCAAAGTAGTGGCTTATGCTTTCAAATCTTCAAGGCTGGCTGCAAGGCACCCGTGAGACCAGGATGCGTATCAAGTACCCCGTGGTCGCTTCAAGATATGCTTCTCACCCTGAACTGACATGCTCCCATTTGCAAGGAGTTCTCCTCAACTGACTGAATTACTGATGCATCGAAATAAGTATGGCTATTACGCAAAAAAGACTCCATAATCCGCTGGAGAATCAAAGTTTAACTTGGGCAATTTCAATAACAGTCATGAAACCCCTACTCTTCAAACGTGCTGGTTATGGACAGGTCAGATAATTATCAGATCATCTTGAGCTACCCTGGACGTTGAGCCAGTGAAACCACAGCGTCTTAAAATCAAGTCACAATCTATCTGAATCATCTCCAAGTAGTCGTATTTTGACTTCTGAATCGAGCATGTTTTCAGTTATATCTTAAGAATAGTATGAGCAATACATGGTGAATGTTTATATACAGGAATGATGAATGCTAAGGTCAAGTGACAAGCCACTAAAAACGGCCAGTGGTAGTAAGCGACTCGCCCTTGGCGTCTAAACGAGCCGTTTCTACCACGCAAACATCCATCTATGGCCACTCCCTGATGATACGACTACTAATTGTCTCAAAAATAGTGATTGACACTCAGAAAACCCATATCTAAGCGCCTGCACATCGACACATCCTTCATCATGGAGGAAACGCCAATGGGCGAGTCCATCAAGATATCGTGAGTAATCCCCTCATCTAAGCCAACTCCACTTTCATGCGCTGACTCGAATGACTACTACAGTTGTGAACGATGTCGTCGCCGCAAGGTGCGATATACATATCTTCAACCCTCATCTGAACTCTAAACTAACTCTTCAACAAGATAAAATGTGATCGAAAACGGCCGTGCTCGCGGTGTATCAAGGCCGGCACGGAATGTATACTCAGCGGTAGCGGAGAGAAGCAACGGTATGACTTCACCTCGCCAGAATCATGAACTATCACCGACTCTAAACTCAACCAGGCCAATATCTAAAGGCTATGTTCAAGCTCTAGAGGGTCAAGTGGCATCTCTTGAGCTATTGCTTCGCAAGCTCGCCGTTGCTGATAGCGCTGAGAGAGATGAGATGTTGTCCGAGATAGCCCTCTCGCCACCAGCCTCCCTCGACATTACACAAAAGTCGCAGATTGACCATGCCAAGTCAAACACTGACCCCAAAGTTGTAGCTGCCCAGGTCCGTTCTGGACAGTTGAGACGGCCTCGATCGAGCCATGCCACTCAGTTCTTTGGCGGCACCAGCGCTTTTCACATCCATCTATCACAAGAGGTCTCATTATCCCCAGATGAGATAACTACTCACCTCGAATCTAATTCCACACCACTCATGATGAACATACCGGAAGTGAGCGCTTCCAGCAGCCCGAGAGACCCGAGCTTTGTATACGCACCTCACGATGAGACTTCCCAGACGTGCATGGCAGCCTACTTCAAGTATCAGTACCAGTTCCATATGCTCATATACAGAGAGTACTTCTTACGAGACTATGATGTTGGTTCAGGTAGATACTACTCAGACGCTCTGCTCTTTGCTATCTGCTCGCTTGGCGCCATGCAGCTCGATGATTCTCGCTCAGTATCCGATATCTTTGCCCACCAGGCCCAGCAACTGATCTACGCAGCTCTCGACAGTCCAGAACTCACCACCTTACAAGCTTTGGCCTTACTGGGATATCGTGAAATTGGTGTAGGTCATACATCAAAAGGCTGGCTCTTTGCTGGTATGGCCTTCCGACTTGCCCATGAGATGGGCCTTCACCTTGACCCAAACAACTGGGACGCTTCGACAGAAGGAACATCAAACCGTGACACGGAGATTCTTAGACGAGTCTACTGGGCTATATTCATTGCCGATAAGCAACTGAGTCTCTACTTTGGAAGACCACCAGCCCTGCACCCCAGCGAATCAGACGTCCGCAACACTATCAGATTGCAATACCCTCCAGACTGGGAGGGTCTGCTGGACACATATATCTGCAAAGGTGCTTCAGCAACAGAATTTGAAGACGGAGTTGCTCTTGTTGGATCCTTCATCTACCAAGCAGAGCTGTGCAAGATCGCCCATCTCATGATCACGGATCTCTTCGAGAATCGTCGAGGTAACGTGGACGCCACCGTAGCTGCAGCCAGGTCGCGGCAAATACACGTGTCGCTCACAAAGTGGCTATCGAGTCTTCCCGGTACTCTGCACTGGAACCAATGGACTGTAGGCGTGGTGCAACCCTCTGTACTTCGTATGCAGTGAGTTGCCCTCCAAGCCGCGTCATCTTTGTATACTGACAAGTCACAGCATGTTGTTCCATACAATCATGATTATTCTTCACCGACCGCCTTCGCATATGTACGAGAAACAGGGCATTGCTGAAAGTGAAGACGTGGAGATCTGCTACGAGTCGTTGCAGGCTATTCTGCGCCTGATGAGAACATATTCACGACACTATAGATTCCGCTCGTTGCCACTGGACTTTGTCCAGACTCTATCCACGGCAGCCGGCACCATCATGATGAAGAGGTTCTTCCAGGGAGCCTCATGGGAAGACTCAGACATTGCACGATCACTTTCGACCGTCATTGACGCAATGGAGGAAGTACAGCACACCTGGCCATGCATGGGTGAGATCAAAGACTATGTCGTACGGGCACGCAATGCACAGGTCGTGATGCCCCCGGAAGATCCCCTCATTGGTCCAGATCTCATGAACGGCCTAGAGCTGGGCCACAATGTTACAGCTGAGCTCATGGCTCAATGGGGCGAGGAGTTAGGTACACTTGTGACGGATGAGTTTTTGAGTATGCAGCTTCAAGGTTCAGAACAAGGCGTGATGGCGCCGTTTGACTTCAACCAACCGCCTTTAGGGCCCCAGTAGGGACGGCTTGTAAATACTTAGAGGTAGAGCAAGATGTAACAGCTGCAAAGCCGGTAAAGTATATAGAAGTCCTTCAACAACAAAATCAACATAAATTGTTTAGGTATGCAAAATAATGCACAAACCTTCCGGAGCTTGGATTATAGAAGACCTAGCTATTGATAGTGTGAGATTGAAGCCTGCTACATGAACTGTCTTCTCCTGAGGGAGCCTGTAAGCGCGCTCGATTACCTGCTGCAGTGTCCCAGGTGTCCGAAATGGCTCGGTGATGATAACATAGGTGGCCCTGGCAAGGTTGAGACTAAGACCGCCAGCTCCTGGACTGAGCAGAAGGACCTCTGGCCTACCAGTAGGTAGGTTGAATGTGAACTGGACCCAAGACCGGTTTTCCAAATCCACGGTGCCATTGTACTCAGCAAGAGGAATTTTGAACTTATCGTCTGTCTTGCTGCACTGCTTCATACCTTGCTTAATGATATCGAGGAAGAGCACAAACTCAGAAACAATTACGATATTTTCATCGGGCCATAACTCGCGAATGGATTTAACCTTTGCAAGAATGGCCTCTACCCGAGGGGAGAAGATCGGGGTATCCTCTGCCTCCAGGAAAGGAAACCATTTCTCCATGAATTTCGGGTGAGAGTGGCCAAAATCTCCTCCATTTCGGCGTCTGACGCGAGCGCTTCTTTTTGCGAGCTTTGGCCTGGTAGAACTCGTTTGCCTGTTCGAAGATGTTACGCTTTACTCACCCATCGCCCTTCTCCAGTACGTTATCCAAAATGCCTCCTGATCACTCTTGCTAACATAAATCATAGTCGCCGTCCGATGCCTGTACGCAACAGCCTGCAGCCTGATGAGGGAGCCTCGTTTGAACAACATGAATCACGCCGGTGGTCAACGGTGGGTTAAAGGAGGAAAGGTTAAAGACTTAGCTGCTAAGGCTAGTATTTGTGTGGCCTGATCAAGGCAACAATTACATCATTAAGGCAGCAGAACTTTACACTGATTTCTGACTTAATGCTGGCCTATTATAGAGATCTCTCTGTTTATATTATTGATGCTAATGTTGCGTCTAAAAAACGATATTATTGTGCTATCCTGATTGTGGAGCCGTTGGCCTTACTATATGTGTTGCTAGATTGGCATTACTGATCTATTGATATATTATTAATAACTTGTTAAAGTCGAGATCTTAGTAACCCCTTCTGTAGTTGAAAGTAAGATTAAGAAGAATGTCTAATAACTATCAAGTAAGTGAGAACTTGAGCACAGTCCGTTGCTATACATGGCAGCTTCGAGAAGGAGAGCCCGCTTGCACAGAGTATAAGGATGAAAACCTTTTGCAAATGTCCCAACGTGAAGGACACAATGCCAAAATAACTAATCTAAAGACCTACTAAGTTATACTAAGTTTACCTAAATCTTTTTATTACTTAGGATATAGATCCTAAGTCTTCTTGCCTCCCCTAGAATGGTCCCTCCACCGTTTATCCTCCATTTTGCATTCTCCCTATCTCAAATGACCACGGCCGCGGATAGCTTCATTTAAGGAGAAGACGATAATTCCTTCATATCTTACTGCCCGCATCATGCACAAGATGACTCTTATCAGGTACTATTCAGGATCCTGATATAAGAGAATCGACTACAACGCGACGGCACATGGACTTGGTGATCGATTAGTGCCAACGTAACTTAAGTTGGATGTGTGCATTTCCTAAAGAGGAAATCTTTACTCACATGGAAAGAACGCGGGGAGGTGCTTACCGAAGACCGATATGCTAGCGCCTCAGCTTAACCTTGTCCCGACCGAGGTTCGTTCTGCTTAAACTCCAACCGCCAATTTAATCTTGTTTCTATCTTCACCAACTTATCTATCCTGTCTCTACCAACCTCGACTTTGGTCTTCATTCGTTTCGCCTTCTTATTGTCCCAATCATCAGACCACATCGGTCCTCCCATCCATAACAACCCGCGCATGCGCATGCGCTCTCTCTGCCGATCATAAAACATCATGTCCTCCTCTTCAGCATCAGCATCAGCATCATCATCACCATATCCCTTTGCCACCGCCCCCGACATCATCCGCTCTCACCAAAAGGATGCATACTTCACCGGCCATCTTACACAGATCCTCAGCGACCTGCATCGTCGCCTTCGCGGTGCCCGTCTCACCCACGCCTGCGCACCCGAGATCCAGACCCTCGCAACACTCGCCTACTTTGCTCTCACTACAATCCCCGGCAATCGAACTCTAGGCGAGGAGTACTGCGATCTTGTGCAGATAGATGCGCGCGATGGTCAACTTCCTGCTATTGGTCGTCGCGCAGGCTATGTAGCTGCCAGCATTCTCCTCCCCTATATTGCGGCCCGGATTCTCCCCGGACTACGGGCCCGGCTGCGCAAGCTTTTGCAACGCCGATTAGAAAGCCTTCGCAAACGAGATGACGGTTCGGCGACAGGACGCGAGGCGCGCATGTGGTCTTATCTAGACCAACACCTGGGTTCTTTTACATCAGGCGCTCCTTTCAAGGCTGTTATTCTAGCCCTTTTCTACTTCAGTGGTACCTATTACCAGCTGTCCAAGAGACTTCTTTCCCTGCGATACGTATTCACACGTACCGTTCCTGATACACCCGATCGTGCAGGATACGAACTTCTAGGTGTACTGCTGGCCGTTCAGCTTGCGGTTCAGGGCTATACCCATATTCGATCTACAATTACCGAGTCAGCAGCTCGCGAACGCGCTGCTTTTGGGGCTTCTGATGATATTTCTTTAAACCATGATGGAGCTTACAACGGCGATAACAATCTGTTACTATCCACAAGTGCTTCAAGCTCCAAGGCTAAAGTCGACATCTTCGCTGCCACACACACCCCAGCAGCAGCTGTACCGCGTGTTCAATTAACTGATGACAAGGCCATGGGCTACATCAAGGGCGGGCAGCAAAGAAAGTGCACACTGTGCTTGGAGGAGATGAGAGATCCCTCAGCAACACAATGCGGCCATGTCTTCTGCTGGGAGTGTATAGGAGATTGGGTGAGAGAGAAGCCCGAGTGCCCATTGTGTCGTCGCGAAGCAATGGCCCAACATATTTTACCACTGCGTGTAATGTAACTTATTTATATTTGATTTGCAAAGATATCCAATTCAGATGAACAAATATTAATATGCTCAATCACATCCTCAATGCGAGGTGTTAAAAACAAAACAAAGAGATACCGAGGCTCAGCGCCCATGGGTATCATCAGAGCAGCTCATGCCGCTATAAAAAACGCTCCAATCCTTTCGTGGTATCCATTCCAGTCCATTCCAGTCCGTCCGATGCACCAACCGCCCATTATCTGCCATTCGGTTTCCTAAAGCATAGTCTTGAAAGAATAAACCTCGACACCAAGAAAAATGGTCCAACCTTGCATCGAGCAAGAGATGTCCGTCCGCTCCCTTGTATACATACTATACACAATTACTGATAGAGACCCAGGGGCCCCAATACTCGCAACCGTCAGATACACACCTGACGAGCTAGCTGAACCCCTCCGATCCCACCTGTCCCCGAAAACTTGTACACAAATTGAAAGCTTGATCATAAAGGTATCGTGGAAAAAAATGTTGTTTCAATGCATCATCCTCATAAACTCCTTTAATCCCATGTCCGGTGTCTGTCCGATTTTTCGGCATGATCTTCCGATGTTGTTCTTTTTGTTGCTTTTATTTTGTTTTTTTGTTTCGATTTGAAGTTGGAGTCTTACTCGACAGAGAACAAGACGATCTCGCCTTGCTCGTTCTGTCGAAGTCGGAGTGACCTCCAGAGTTCCTTCTCTTCCTTGCCCTTGCCCAGCTCGCTGCCAGTAGCCTCACGTTCTCGGTGGAAGCGCTTGAGAACCCTGTTCAAGCTGACGCCCTTCTCACTCTCAGGACCCTTATCGACGAAGCTGAGGAAGACGTCGGCTCGAGGCTTGTAGAGAACGACTTGACCAGCGCTGGGGTCTGTTTTGCCATCTTTGCTCTGAGGGCGATACTCAATGAGCTGCTGAGGCTTCTTCTCTTTATGGGACTTCTTGGAGGAGGAAGAGCTCTTCTTGGTCTTGGAAGATGACTTGGTCTTCGTCTTGGACTTGGACTTGGGCTTGCTGCCAGCAATCATGCCAAAGAGGCTGTGACCGGTAGAGGCGTGCTTAGAGTGCTTAGAATGTTTGGAGTGCTTTGACTTCTTCAAGGGACTCGCGGGAGAGATTTCCGGAGCGTCACCGCCGGAGTAATCGGGGGATGGAGGGAAAACAGGGCGCATCATACGGTTGATGCCGCCTGTGAGTCCTGAGTGAAGGACCGGTGGGGCATCCGTCATAACCTGGTCGCTAGGAACATCGATATGTAATCGCTTGCGCTTCTTGTCCTTCTTCTCAGTGCTGGTCCGGCTTTTACGTCTCTCAGATTTCGAAGCTGGTGTAACAAATTCGGCGGCTGGCACGGGGCCACTTCCATACTCAACTGCAGGTTCATCGTCGTCATCCATGAAGCCGTATTCGTCGCTCTTCTCCTTGGGTTCGTATCGTACCAGTGAGTTGCCTGGCTCCGCGTCTAGATTCATGTTGGAAGCATTGGGTGTTTGGCCCGTTCCAACGAGGAATTCAAACACATCAACATGTGGCTCGGGGGCAGCAGAAGGAGGCGTAGGAGCCTCCGGGGGCGGGCCGTTTGGGGATTCATCATCGCTGCTTTCTTCGTACTCGGCCCAGCCGAACTGATCCTCGGGAACATCCTCAACGTAGGCGTAGTGGCTCATGTTGCCAGTGTTGTTCGGGAGAGTCTGAACTTCGGCCATGGCTTGATCTTGGGTGTAATGTTGTTGGTTATCGTTGGGGTGGCTGTGTTTCTGTTTCTTGTTCTTCTTGTCCTTATAGAGAGCACCTTGATACTTCTGGTCTTCGGTCATGCAACTCTATATGATGTCAGATGATTACACAAGATCAGGGGTTAATGGCTACCGGAAAGCCTTGTGGTACGGTACATACGGTATGTGATCGGTATTGGACGCCAGGAAAATACACCATACAATCAATGCAGGTGAAGGTAGCGCCGCGACAGCGGTTGCGATGAGGATCAAGTTTCTTCTTGGTGAGAACGTCGCCGCAAGCCTGTATGTAATATGTAAGTTAGTATAACAAAGGACAGAGCTGATATAAACTACGGCATGAAGGGTATAAGTGGGATGCAAGACAATGGAGACTCGTTCGATGCGGCGGGGTGGTGTACTGGGATATTTGAGGAATACAAGGGGAGGCGAGAGCATGGCAAGACGGTTGTGGTGGGCCAGGAGATCGGCATGGGGAAGAAGGGGTGTCCCTTGAAGGAGGCAGTTCGTGACAAGAATGGTGTGGTGGGAGTGATGTCAGGCGTGTATGAGGTTTGTTTAGGGGGGTGGGCATTGGCATTGGCATTGGGACTGGCATTGACGGGAGTGAAGGGGCATTTTTGTGAGATGGAAACGGAGGGGGATAGGATATGAATATGGCTTGAGCGGCGGGAGCATTTGGATAACAGCATAACTATCCATGGGAATGGATAAAAAGTCGAGACTCGGCGGATGGGAGTGCAAGCGATTCAGAGAATGCACTTCACAGAA